CTGCTCGGGAACCATGAACTGCACCATGCAGCTCCACAACCGCGCCAGCGTGAGGTCGGGCTTCTTCCCAGTCAGCAGCTGGTACGGCGTTGTCTCCGGCAGCGTCGTCGACTGCTCTAAGTAGTTGGGTACCTAGACAACTTGTCGCAGAGCAGGATGCCACCTGTGATGCTGCACACCCATGAGCACCGGCATTGTCCGTACAGACTCGACGACCGTGCACATCTCCCTCTCAGCCATGCCGTTCTGCTGCGGAGTGTAAGGGCACGTCAAGTTATGGACGATGCCCTTCCCGTCAACGAAGTTGGTGAACTCCTTCACGAGAAACGAGAAACTCCCTCCGCAGTCTGAGAGGAGCAGCAGCACCGACTTCTTCGTCTGCCGTTCCACCAGCACCAGCCACTTCCCGAACTCCCGCAGCACGTTGCTCTTCTTAGCAACCGGCATCACCCACATGAACCAAGTGTGACAATCCTTCAGCAGCAGGAAGTACAAGCTGCCGTCCTTGGCAGCCACCCGAAATGGCCCGCACAAGTCAATGTGCACGACAGCCAGTGCCTCCTCAGCATCTGAGCCCTTGTACGGGAAGGTGTGCCGCGCTAGCTTGCCTCCGATGCACGAGACACACGGCGGGTCCACTCCAGTTGACAGCTTGATGTCAAGCCCAGTAGCAACCTCATGCTTCGCCGAGCTCTTGATCGTGTCGACGCCAACATGCGCGAGTCTCGCATGCCACCGGTCGGGGGTCGACTTCGTCCCTGAGGCTATCGTCCGCAGAGCCACCACCTAGGGCGATGGCGACCGTGTTGAGCAGGGACGATGGTCGGTGGAGAGGACTCGACCCATATAGCGTGCTCGACTGAGCACCTCCCCAGTCATGGCGACGAGCAGCATCTCGTCGCCGTCGTTTTGCTGCTGCACGCCGCTCTCCTTCAGTTGGCCAGCTGACAGCAAGTTTGCCTGTACTCTTGGGACGTAGAGCACGTCCGGGATGAGGACCCGTTTCACGGCCTCCCCTTGCAGAGCGACGGTTCCACGACCCTCGACAGGCTGCAACGCCCCATTGAAGCCGCGCACGTGTTTCACACTGTCGCTCGGCGCCATGTCGACGAAGACCGCCTTCGTCCCCATCAGGTGGTGGGAGCAACCGCTGTCGAGCAGCACCGCCATCGGGTTTGCCTGCACAGCTGCCGCCACTGCCTGGAAGTCCTCGCCAGCCTCCGGCGCCAGCGAGACTGTCGGCTCCACCATGCCGACCATCGAGCACGACGCCTCCCCGTCGCCTCGGCCCTTGCCGCTGGAGTTGTCGACGTCCTTCGTCGACGACGTCTTCTTTGATGTCTGCTTCTCCTTGCGTGGCTTCTCATCTCGACGGGGGCGATGGCTTGTCGATCGACGGCGGCCTCCCTTGTTGTCATCCTCGTCACTGCCGTCGCGGTCGGGGCATTCGTAGGAAAGATGGTCGGGGTCACCGCAGACCTAGCACTCCCGCCGTCGACCATTGTCTCGCGTCCACTTCTTCTCGTTGACGTCCGTCGTTAACCGCCCACCTCCGCTACCACCTCCGTCCGGCTTCCCACGCTGCTCTTGCTGACGATTTTCCTTCGTCGGTGCAGCGTAACTTGCCTGCGGAAGGAGCTCCGTGGGCTGCTCTGCCTCCTGCATAGCCTCGTCTTGAAGGACGTAGCTGGCGATGGATTCCTCGTTGAGGGACTCACGTGTGCCGGGCACCATCATCATCCTCTTCATGAGGTTGTAGCTGCATGGCAGGCCCTTGTCGACGTGGGTGATGTAGGATGCCGTAGAGTATTCAGCGCCCACCATCCGCATTTCAGCCGGTATCTGTCGAGCACAGTTACAATAGCCCGTCGCCGTCTCCTGTTCGCCCATCCGCAGGTGTGTCATCTTCTCCTCCAGCTGTCCAATGTACAGGTCGTCCTTTGTCTTATACGTCGACAGGATGAAGTGCCATGCTTGGTGACCAGCATCCAGTCGCTCTCGACAAAACCTGAGTGCTAGCTGCACCACCGGCGAGCAGCACCTCGAGATGACCATGAAGGTGAGCAAGTGAGCAGCACGAAACTCCCCGCGCAGCTCGACATCGTCCTCGTGCGGAATTGGCACGGTACCGTCACCGAAGCCCTTCGGCCCGACGACCTTGAGTTGAGGTTCTATGGACTCCCTCCAGGTGAAGAGGTCCCGTCGACCTTGCAGAGGTGTGAAAGTGATCCGGTCCGGCGAAAACTTGAAGTAGCCATACGCCAGTGCGATCCCGCCCACCGTCACGTGCGTCGTCGCCAAGAGCCCTCCGCCGCTTCGTAGAGGAGAGCGATGTCGACCATCGACTTCGACCCGCAAGCTGCCGTCAACAGTTGCCCTCGCGCCTGACTCCCGTCGACGCCACTGTCGACCTTAATCACCCCTCTCTTCTTCATGCCATCGTTGCCGCTGACTCGTGCATCGCCGTCGACTTCGTTGTCGACGCCACCATCGTTCCGTACTGGTCGAGGAGATGCAGGACGGGAAGGGTGCTCCGTCGCCCACTGCGCCCGGATGCCCAACTCAGCGATCGTCCAGGGGATCATCCCGTACTCGCCATCCTCATGGCGTTTCCTTACATGAGCCAAACGTGCCTCCAAGATGTCCGCTACGCCCGCATCAGCTACGGGGTTGACCATGGCGACTAGATCAGTTGCCGGCCTACGAACGACTTAGTAGGTATGAAAGTTGGCTCCTATCTGAAGGTAACTCTACAATGGTCATGAGCTAGACTACGGGGGGAATTGGCACGAACTCCTGCAAGTGATCGTAGCTTTGCTTAGTTCCTTAGTGCGTGTGCATTCATGGGAGAAATCGGCAAGAGTTTAACTAGGCAAAGATTGCATTCCAGAATGATTGAACAAGCAATGACAGAAAAGACTACATCAAGCACCTAGCAACTCTGCAGCTAGCCTAGTCGACCGCCAGCACAGCATGGTTGACCGTCTGCCAGCGTTGCGTATAGGAGTCGCGCCAGCACTGCGGAAAGGCCACCTGCCAACGCAACAGGTCGACAGCGTGCCAACACTGCTGCAGAGTGGCTGTCCAGCGTTGCACCCATATATGGCAGCATTGCGCACGCTTGCAGGTGCGCGCAGACGATTGGCCCGACTTGCATCGTTGTGTGCGCCGGACGAGCCACATCGACTTCGGGATACCAGCCCGAAGTTGCCTTCATCACTGCGACCTCGACGACGTTCGCGTGCCTCCGCGGAACTTGCCGAGCAGGTTACATGGTCTACCTGGACACCACCAGGTGCTCTGGTTGGCCACCAAGTGCCTTCAGTTGACCACGAGGTGCCTCTGATCGACCACCAAGTGCTCTGGTCGACCAAAGCTCCCGTCGAGCAACACCCTGGTCGACGGACCCCTCCGTCTACCAGCACGTAGGCTGCTGTCGCCGAGCTCCCGTCGTCGACTTCCGTTCACATGTCAGGTCGACTGACTACTCCATCGGCCTCCCCATCGAACTGCTCCTCCTGGTCGAAGGCCCACCCATCGACCAGCCCAGTCAGCTGCAACCATCGAGCACACCTGGTCGATGGCAACACCACAGTGATCCTTGCAGCTCGACGAAGCCCGTCGAGCAGCTCCCTCACTGTGAACGGTCGGCTGCTTCTTCCGTACATCCGACCAAGTCGTCGGCGTTGCCCAAGCGAGGGCGGGGCCAACACTCCATTCCCGTTAACAGGTGCTTCGTCAGCAGGCGCTGTGTCGTCCCTTGTATATCTGGGGCCGCCTGCGCGGACTCGAACGTGCAATGCAACGCTCATTTGCGGTAGACTTGGTGGTGGCGGGACGTGCACGCTGGGATGTGCGTCGAGGAAGGGGGGTGCGAGGGATCAGCGCCTCAGAAAGTAGCTCTGTCCACTCGCGTGTAGCGATGGCCGTCGTGTGGGAGCGGTCTGGAGGGGTCGTCTATGTCAGGAGAAGTGTGGGTGCAGCGGCAAAGAGGAAGGTGGGGCCTGGGGCTTAAGGGTACTGGGATATACGGGCCGAGATCGTACAGAGGACGTCCAGGGTTTCCTCCTCGGACCCTCGCCGGAACGCGTCTGAGAGGGCGGGCGTGGGTGCGCCCCGACAAGAAATACTCCAACCAGAAATAGGAGTCCAGCATCTGCCACTGTGCATCTGTAAAATGCTTCCTTGTCCCCCATGGCTGTGTGAGAGATGGGAGGACATATGCAGCGTCGTGGAGGGCTTGTGCCCTGCAAGCTACGTCCGCAGGGTGGCAGAAGGGCGTGTGGTGCTGGAGCGCACGTCAATTCACGAGAGGGCTCCTGCACGTGGGGCAAATCACGGCTTGGTCGCATGATGTCGCCGTATCAGTGGGGTCGATCGAGGCCGTGGCGCCGAAACTGGCTGTAGAGGGGACCCCATGGGCGGCCTGAGCTCTAAGAGGATCGCCTGGGATAAGGGGACGAGAGGACTCACCCGCCCTCAGCTGGAGGGGTGTCGACGGAGATGGAGGTGGTGCCACACTGGGTGGGGCCGGGTCCCCACCCCGTCCGGGCCCCGAAGCTAGGGAGGAGGGATGTGGAGGTTAGTCTGAAGTGCGTGCCATAATGTGGGCGAGAGAAATACTCGGCTGGGTGACCTCCCGGGAAGTCCTCGTGTTGTACCCATGTATGCCCCTCGCTCCGCACGTGCCAGGGAGGGGCAAGCGGAAAAAAGAAAGGACGATTTCAGCGCGTCATAATTTTTTTCTTTTCTTTTCGTTTTTTTGCTCGAACAACGACGCAGCAACGGGCAGGGGTTGGGCCAGCTGAGGGCATGGAAAAAGGGCGGGCAGAGGTTCTTAAGAGGGGCGAGCGATGCAAGGGAGGCACCATAGGGGGGAGATCAGTTGCACGGAGGTGGGAGGTGAGGGGCGTGCGAGGGGGTGGAACAGGGGCAGGGAGGGGCAGAACGGAAAGATGTGGGTGGGGAGTGGGGGGCGATGAGAGGGCGATGGGAGGGCGATGGGAGGTATGTCTAACAATTCCCCTCCCATCGCCCTCGCTTCCCCCTCCCATCGCCCTCGCTTCCCCCTCCCGTCACCCTTGCTTTCCCCTCCCATCGCCCTCGCTTCCCCCTCCCGTCACCCTCGCTTTCCCCGCCCATCGCTAATCCACTTGCGCCATCTGCCTGCGTGGGGCAGCAGCATCACCAACGCCTCCTTCTCTCACCTCATTGCCTTCCTCCATTCCAAATCTCCCCCCAAATCCCCACCCACTCTTCCCCTGCAGTCGCTGGTTCACTTGCGCCATCTGTCTGTGTGGGGCAGCTGCATCACCAGCGCCTCTGCCTTGCTGCTCCTCGCCTTCCCCCGTCTGCTCTCCGCCAACCTCGCCTGGACTGCCCTCTATCACCTCCCCGCCCACCCCTCCCTCACCGCCCTCCACCTCTCCCACTGCCCCCTCCTTTCCATTGGCTTCCCTCTCCCCTCCTCATCCTCTCCCTCCGCCTCCTCTCATTCCTCCTCTCACGCCTCCTCCTCATCTTCCTCCTTCCCCCTCACTCATCTCGTTCTCTCTGGTGCCTCAATCGCTCCTTCCTCCTCCCTCTTCCCTCGTCCCCCCCGGCTCACTCTGTTCCCCTGCTCATTATCTTCCCCTCCGGCTCACTCTGTTTCCTCTGCTCATTCTCTTCCCCCCGACTCACTCTGTTTCCCCTGCTCATTCTCTTCCCCCCTGGCTCACTCTGTTTCCCTTGCTCATTCTCTTTTCACTCGGCTCACTCTGTTTCCCCTGCTCATTCTCTTCCCCCTGGCTCACTCTGTTTCCTCTGCACATTCTCTTCCCCCCGACTCACTCTGTTTCCCCTACTCATTCTCTCCCCCCAGGCTCACTCTGTTTCCCCTGCTCATTCTCTTCCCCCCGGCTCACTCTGTTTCCCCTGCTCATTCTCTTCCCCCCGGCTCGCTTTGTTTCTTCCCGTTCACTCTATTTTCCGCTGCTCAGTCTGTTCCCCCTTTCACTCACCCCCATTTCCAGCCGCGCAGGGTATAGGTCCCATCACCATGGCCCAGGGTTTATTGCATGCAGTGTAGCAGCCAAGAGTGCCCAAAAAAACATTACATTTCCTAGCTATCTTTTTTAGTCAAGTACTTCCTTTGTTGTGGTCATGTGCACGGCTGCTTCTGAGCACATTGTTTGTATTATCGCAAAGCATCCAACATCAATATATGGCATGGCCAATCATCATAGTACTATCACCACCACACATCACCACAACCAGATGCATAGCAGACCTGTATACAAACACAAACCAGGTAATAAGATGTGACATGGCTGAGCAGCAGGGAAGTATACAAGATAATGATGAAGGCAAGCAACCAACTGGGGAAAGGATAACGCAAGGTCCCTCCATTTATGCTTACAGTTGAAGAGGAATAGAAGAAGGGATGAAAAGAGGAAGTATGGAATAGAGGGAGGAACGGATGAAGAGAAGAACGGCGGGGGAGAAGAACAGGACAGCACTCACCAGCATTGCACTCACCAGCATTGCACTCACCAGCACTGCACTCACCGGCACTGCTTTCCCCAGCACTTCAGGGTGGGTGAGTGAGCAGGGAGTGTGAGTAAGGAGGGTGTGTGAGTGAGAGTGTGAGTTAACAGAGGGCATGGTGTAATGGGGAACGGAAAGATGGTCAAAGAGTGTTAGGGGAGACACGGGGCGGAGAAGAGATGGAAGGGCGTCAGTAGAGACAGATCGATGCAGCTTCGATGGGCAGGAGTGCTGCACCTGCAAGTAAGGGATATCAATGTGACAACTACAGCATTGACTATGGCAATCCGCCCTGTTGGCGCCCACTGCTTGTGTGTCAAAGAAGGCATGGCAAAGATGGTCAAAGAGGGTATAGCAAAGATGGGGACGGGTGTGAGAGAGGGACAGGTGTGAGAGAGGGACGGGTGTGAGAGAGGGACGGGTGTGAGAGAGGGACGGGTGTGAATGCGGGACGTCAGTGACTGCGGAACGGACGGGAGTGCCGCCCGCTACAAGGTCAGCAAGGAACGGAGCAGTGAGGAAAGGAAGGGGGCAGCGAGGAAAGGAAGGGAGCAGCGATGAAAGAAAGGGAGCAGCGAGGAAAGGAAGGGAGCAGCGAGGAAAGGAAGGGAGCAGCAAGAAAAGGAACGGAGCAGCGAGGAAAGGAAGGGAGCAGCGAGGAAAGGCGGTACAAATGGAGTGTTGAAGTGCAGACGAGAGGAAGCGAGCAAGGGTGGAAATGAGAGAAAGGAGGTCGGAAATCGAGGGGAGAATTTGTGCGTATGATTCACCTACCGTTCACACCCGCTGCACTCGCCGCCCAAATGGTAACCTTCCCGACTTGTCCCTTACCCATCTCGCGTGTCCCTTCCCTTCCCATCACATCCCGTCGCATTCCGTCCTTTCCCGTCCCCGTCCCCCCGCAACGCCCCGCAGTCCCTTCACGTCCTGTCCCATCGCGTCGCATTCCATCCCTTCCCGTCGCGTCCCTTCCTGTCCCTTGGGAATTCACCCTGGTCGCCGCTAATAATCGATAAGTGGAACCCTAATTTCAAGTTTTAGGTCAGTCGTATATGCTGGTCACTAAGATTCTTTCTTTTGTCCAAGAGGTAACCTCGATTGCAAGTGGAAGGCGTTTTACACTTGGACCTGTGCCTAGAACTATCAAAATTGAGTATTCGAGTTCTCACCCGTCTCATATTTTTCAGCTGGTTGTAAATGGTTGATCAGTGCTGCACACTCGTCGCAGCTGGGGTTGTCTCGACGATCGTGTTTGTCGCCAAATGAATAATCAATTAGGCGTGTTTCCCCAACCTAGCTGCATGTACTATCGCATGCTTGGTTTGGCACGTTTCTCTGCATACCACCAAGCAAGTTTGTGGTTGGGCAACCAACTTTCTCAACCTGGGCCATTCTTCAGTGCACTTGTGCGACAGTCTGTGGGTTACCGGATACCAAGCGTTTAACACTTGGTTGGGAACACAAAATATGAGATGCAAGCTTTAAGCCTACTATTTCGGGTGGTTTTAAAGCAAGGGTGCACTTTCGGGGGGGTGGAGGCAAAGGTTTATCACTTGCCTCCACGTGGTTACCCGGTTTTGGGATGGAAGTGAGACGTGAACAAGCGGCCAGTGTTGGCAAAGTTGAGCGGGCGTAGACTCCCCCGTCAATAGCGAAAGGGAAAGAGAGTTGGGAACTTGAGTTGGGGCCGCCAGGCACTTTGTGAACCAAAAACACATGAATCTCAAGCCACGCACACGCTTCCCACGCAACGAATAGCACAGGAACTACTTCCAACAGCGCACCGCCATGACAAAGCATGGTTTTCTGGGATATAAACTACATTGCCAGAGCATCTCAACCCTACCGCGTGCACGACTTAGCACGTGCGCTCTCTCGTCGCTCTCATGCGGCACGCCCGGGTTTAGCCATATCGCAATACGCACTAGGACGCATCCGTGCCCACACAACGCCTGACCAGAGTGCATTTCGCCGCTAACGAGCACTAGCCTTGAGAAAACAGGCGGAGGGCCAACAGCGCACTCAATTCGCGCGTGTCGCGCGTGCCACACCACGAGCGACACGCCCTCGGGAAGCAGGTCCGGACACCGCACCGTGTCTGCTATCCATTCATCATCATCACCAAAACCGAGCGTCGTGTCTGATTTTCCAATATCCATAGTGACGGTGTGCGGAATGGCGACCAACCGCATGCGACGGTGTACGGTCTGGTAACTTTGCCGCACGCCACGGTGTGCGGAACTGCAACTTGCTGTGTACGACGGTGTGCGGAACTGCAACGAGCTACGTGCGATGGTGTGCGGAACTGCAACGAGCTGCGTGCGCCGGGGTGTGGAACTGCGACGCGCAGCGTGCGACGGTGTGCGAAAAGGCGACGCTGCTGCTTGCTGCTGCTGCCTTGGACGAGCCCCAACCAGCCTCCGAGGCTAAGTTTCCTCTCGGTCCACCCCCGTCCTCCATTGCTCCCCATCCGTCTCTTTCACTCTCAAGGCGCATGCGTCTCTTGGCGCAGTGCGCTTGACGGTGGTGGTTCATGGCGCTATGGCAGCAGAGCTCAGTAGAGTGCAGTGTAGTGGGAGATGTTAGAGTAGTGGAGAGGGAGTGCATTCATGCCATGCGTGCGTCCCTCTCTCCCCTCCTTGTCCCCTCTCCCAATCTTCTCTCACTCCACTCCCTGCTCTCTCAATCCTCCCTTCCCTCTCTCCCTTCAAGCCCCTCCCTTCTGTCATTTCTTCCCCCCCCCTGTCATTTCACCCCTCCCCTGTCTTTTCACCCCCTTGTCGCAGTCCCTCTGCTATACCCCTTTCTCTCCCTTCCCTGCTATACCCCTTTCTCTCCCTTACTCCCCTGCTATACTCCTTTCTCTCCCTTACTCCCCTCGGCTATATCCCTTTCTATACCTTACTCCCCTCTCAAACTCTCCTCACCCCTCTCTGCCCTCTCTCCCCATCCTTCCATTTCCCCCCTTTTTGTTCTGTCTTGTCCCCCCTCCCCTCCCTGTCCTATCCCCCCTCTCTGCCCTGTCCTATCCCCCCTCTCTGCCCTGTCCTAACCCCCCTCTCTGCCCTGTCCTATCCCTCCTCTCCGCCCTGTCCTATCCCCTCACTCCCTAGCAGGTCCACTCACTCCCTGTCCTATCCCCTCACTCCCTAGCAGGTCCACTCACTCCCTGTCCTATCCCCTCACTCCCTAGCAGATCCACTCACTCCCTGTCCTATCCCCTCACTCCCTAGCAGGTCCACTCACTCCCTGTCCTATCCCCTCACTCCCTAGCAGGTCCACTCACTCCCTGTCCTATCCCCTCACTCCCTAGCAGGTCCACTCACTCCCTGTCCTATCCCCTCACCCTTCTTCACCCTTTCCCCTCTCTGCCTTACACCCATTTCTCTCTCTTACTCCCCTCTGCTATACCCCATTCCATCGTATCTCCTCTCCTCACTATCTCCTTCTTTATCGTCCTATCTCCCTTTCCTGTTAACTATCCCCTCCCTCTCCTATTCCCCCTCCCTGCCCTCTCTCCCCTCCCTGCCATATCTCCCAAAACCTGCCCTCTTTCGACCCCATACCCTCTCTCCCTCTCTTCCGTCTCTCCCTTCAATGCCCTCTCGCCCCCATCTTTTCTCTCTTTGCTCTCCGCCTTGTCCTATCCTCCCTCTCGGTCCCGTCCAATCGCTCTGCTAACCCCATGCTTGCCCTATCAAACATCAGTGTATCTGTTCTCCCCACTGTGTTATCTCCCTTCCCTGCCCTTTCGTCTATGTCTGCCACTCTTTCCCCCAAGTCTAGAATCGTGGATGCAAATGGCCCACCATGCGCTGGCAATGACGATGGATGGGGAGGCAGTTGGGGTGCTGAGGGGCCATGATGTGGCAGTTTGAGCGCATGGTGTGGTCCTAGGCTTGCCTAGAATGCATGTTAGGAAATGTTGGCAAAGATGTGAGAATTAATCAAGTGCTACTTTTTCTCAGGGTCTAAACCCTTTATGTATCATCCGTATATCGTATTTTCGCATATCACTTGGCACGTTAGTCACATAATGCCTTTACAAAGAGCCCTGTCAAGTTTTATACATCCAAATACAACACCAGTTCTTGGAAAATGCACAAGCCTCCTTCCATGTCGCATGATATCATGCAGCAAGGGCGTAGAAGAGTGTTCCCCTACGTGTCATCTGCCGTGGTCACATGAAAATGAGGAAGGGAGGAGAGGATGGGAGGAGGGGTGAAAAATGTGGATGGTTGGACATGAGGAGTCGTGGAAGGGAGGATGACAGTAGTGAGAAACAGAGGGAGGGAGGAAGGGATGATGGGATGGCCGTGGAATGGACGGAAGCGAGCCTCGAACGGTGGGAGGCAGGGATGAACGGAGGAGGGTTGGAGGCATGGATAAATGAAGGAACTGAGGAAAGGGAATGAGGCACTGGCGGGTGGAAATGAGGAGAAGCAGGAGGGGACATGAGGGGAAGAGGGGAGTGAGAAGGAAGGAGATGGAAGGTGGGGAGAGGAGTTAGGAGGAAGAAGGGGAGGAAAGGGAGGACAGGGGGATAGAGGGGGACAGGGGGAGAGAGGAGGACGGTAGGGGGGACAGGAGGGGCAGGAGGGAGAGAGGTGTGGTTAGAGAAGGGAGGGCAGGGGGTAGAGTGGAGGACAGGCGGGGGGAAGAAGTGGGTTAGTAGGGAGAGAGGACCTGTTGGAGAGAGGAGGACAGGACGGGGAGGAATGAGGAGGACAGGGGGGGAAAGGAGGGGAAGCAGGTGGGGAAAGGAGGGGAAGCAGGTGGGGAAAGGAGGGGAAGCAGGTGGGGAAAGGAGGGGAAGCAGGTGGGGAAAGGAGGGGAAGCAGGTGGGGAAAGGAGGGTAAGCAGGGGGGGAAAGGAGGGGAAGCAGGGGGGGAAAGGAGGGGAAGCAGGTGGGGAAAGGAGGGGAAGCAGGTGGGGAAAGGAGAGGAAGCAGGTGGGGGAAGGAGGGGAAGCAGGTGGGGAAAGGAGGGGAAGCAGGTGGGGAAAGGAGGGGAAGCAGGGGGGAAAAGGAGGGGAAGCAGGTGGGAAAAGGAGGGGAAGCAGGTGGGGAAAGGAGGGGAAGCAGGTGGGGAAAGGAGGGGAAGCAGGTGGGGAAAAGAGGGGAAGCAGGTGGGAAAGGAGGGGAAACAAGGGGGGCAAAGGAGGGGAAGAAGGGGGGGAAAGGAGGGGAAGCAGGTGGGGAAAGGAGGGGAAGCAGGGGGGGAAAGGAGGGGAAGCCGGTGGGGAAAGGAGGGGAAGCAGGTGGGGAAAGGAGGGGAAGCAGGTGGGGAAAGGAGGGGAAGCAGGTGGGGAAAGGAGGGGAAGCAGGTGGGGAAAGGAGGGGAAGCAGGTGGGGAAAGGAGGGGAAGCAGGTGGGGAAAGGAGGGGAAGCCGGTGGGGAAAGGAGGGGAAGCAGGTGGGGAAAGGAGGGGAAGCAGGTGGGGAAAGGAGGGGAGGAAGGTGGGGAAAGGAGGGGAAGCAGGGGGGGAAAGGAGGGGAAGCAGGTGGGGAAAGGAGGGGAAGCAGGTGGGGAAAGGAGGGGAAGCAGGTGGGAAAAGGAGGGGAAGCAGGTGGGGAAAGGAGGGGAAGCAGGTGGGGAAAAAAGGGGAAGCAGGTGGGGAAAGGAGGGGAAGCAGGTGGGAAAAGGAGGGGAATCAGGTAGGGAAAGGAGGGGAAACAAGGGGGAAAAAGGAGGGGAAGCAGGTGGGGAAAGGAGGGGAAGCAGGGGGGAAAAGGAGGGGAAGCAGGTGGGGAAAGGAGGGGAAGCAGGTGGGGAAAGGAGGGAAAGCAGGTGGGGAAAGGAGGGGAAGCAGGTGGGGAAAGGAGGGGAAGCAGGGGGGAAAAGGAGGGGAAGCAGGTGGGGAAAGGAGGGGAAGCAGGGGGGGAAAGGAGGGGAAGCAGGTGGGGAAAGGAGGGGAAGCAGGGGGGGAAAAGAGGAGAAGCGGGTGGGGAATGGAGGGGAAGCAGGTGGGGAAAGGAGGGGAAGCAGGTGGGGAAAGGAGGGGAAGCAGGTGGGGAAAGGAGGGGAAGCAGGTGGGGAAAGGAGGGGAAGCAGGTGGGGAAAGTAGGGGAAGCAGGTGGGGAAAGGAGGGGAAGGAGGGGGGGAAAGGAAAGGGGGGGGGGAAAGGAGGGGAGGCAGAGGGGGAAAGGAGGGGAAGCAGGGGGGGAAATGAGGGGAAGCAGGGGGGGGGAGATGAGGGGAAGCAGGGGGGGAAATGAGGGGAAGCGGGGGGGGGGAAGCTGCTCATTGGATTACGATTAGTAGCTACGCTAGAGCTGCTGTGAACGAAATGGTTTGGCTTCATTTGCAGTTCCTGTGTTTTCATCGTCCATTTCGCCCGATTAGTGTCTGCTTCTCTGTAATTCGAAACTCCTCTAAGAAAATAGTAATTACATGATTCTTTCTGGAAATATTGATCTACTATTTCTAGATGTACATTGTGCATTTTGGTTAAGGGTTGTTAACTCATATTAATTGTTATTCTAAGAGAATTCAAAGGCTATTATCTACCAATAGGCATAAGAAATTCAAAGCCTCAATTTGAGTCGATCGAATGATGTAATATTTGTCAAATGTTTGTGTTGTGTAGGCTGTAGTGGGGTAGCCCATAAGGGGTACAACCCAACCTAGGGTTCATATTTCTACCCAACTTTCTCTTAGTTCACACATTCCTGCTGTTGATTCTGACATGGTATCAGAGCAGGTCCTGTCCCAGGACCGTTCTCGTTAGGGCCCACCGATCGTACCCTGCCCGTCGCGCTGCCCCACCACACGCGCATGCACTGCCCTGCCCTGCGTTGAGCCCCCCAGCGCACGCCCTGCCCTGCCTTGCGTTGCTTCGAGCTGCCCGCGCACGCCCTGCCCCGCGTTGCGCTGCCCCGCGCACGCCCTGCCCTGCGTCGCGCCGCCCCGCGCACGCCCTGCCCTGCGTCGCGCGCCCCGCGCACGCCCTACCTTGCCCTGCGTCGCGCGCCCCGTGCACGCCCTGCTCTGCCCGTCGCATCGCGCGCCCCTGCTGCCCGTCGCGCCGCGTGCCCCTGCTGCCCGTTGCGTCGCGTCGCCCGTGCGGGCTGCCCCAGCCCGCCGCGTCGCCCGTACGCCCTGCCCTGGCCCGTCGCGTTGCCCGTGCGGGCTGTCCCAGCCCGTCGCGTCGCCCGTCCGCCCTGCCCCTGCCCGTCGCATCGCCCGTGCGGGCTGCCCCATCCCGTCGTGTCGCCCGTACGCCCTGCTTTGCCTGTCGCACGACCCGCGCGCGCCCTGCCCTGCCCGTGCGCCGTGCATCCACCCTGCCCTGCCCGTCACGCGGCCCGCGCACGCCCTGACCTGCCCGCACGTCGCGTCTACGCCCTGCCCTACCAGTCGCGAGGCCCGAGCACACCCTCCCCTGCCCGCGCGCCGCGCATACGCCCTGCCCTGCCTGTCGCGCGGCCCGCGCCCGCCTTCCCCTGCGTCGCGCCGACCTACTTCCAGCGCGCCACCCTGCTCTGGCCGCGCGCCTCCCTTACTTGACCGTGCACCGCCCCACCCTTCCCTACGCACTAACCCTAGTGCCTGATCACCGCCCTGCCTTCTCTACGCACTGCCCTGCTCGTCGCTCGCCACATTGCTTTGCCCGCTATGACTTCTCTTCGTGGTAGCAGTGGGAGTGGTGGCGGCGGCCGTAGTAGCAGTCGCGGTGGAGCTGTTCAGTGGGGAGTTTCTGGCGGTGGCCAGATGCAGCCGCAGCGGCGTCCGCGCGAGACCCTTACGTCTCAGCAGCTTCGTGAGTGGTTACTTCAGCATGGGACGTCTAGGTGTACTGCTCGCTGCCCGTACGTCATTCGCACAGGTGATCGGGCTGGTTAGACCTGCGCGACACTTGGCCACACACAGTCCTGCTGCTTAGCCTATATGAGCGAGGCCTGGCGCGAAGAGTTTGGCGACGCAGCTGAGCTCCCCCACTGGTTACAGCTACATCGGCGCGGTGTGGATAGATTTTCTCTAGACTATGACGCTATCCTTACGGCCATGTATGCGTTGCCTGTTGGTACTGAGGGTGACTGTTACCTGTGTGTGCCGCCCAACCAAGGTATAGCGGCTGCTGCTCTAGGTGCTAGTGAGTCTGCTCTCTCTGGTATAGAGGCTGCTGCTCTGGGTGCTAGTGAGTCTGCTCTCTCTAGTACTGCGCCTGCTGAGGCCTTGCACACTTTCACGCTTGACTCAGGTGCTTCTCGCTGCTTCTTTCGCGACAGTACCACAGTCACACCACTTCCTGCACCTGTTGAACTCTCTCTGGCTGACCCCTCAGGGGGCCCAGTTCTTGCCGGGAGCCTCGCCGCAGCGGTCTCCCTAGCGTGAGACCCTCTTACCACAGCAGCTGCACGAGTTGCTTGCCCGGCGCACCCGCCTTTGGAGTCGCACTAGCGCTGGAGGCGCTAGAGCTGGAGGCACTGGAGCTGGAGGCGCTGGAGCTGGAGGCGCTGGAGCTGGAGGCGCTGGAGCTGGAGGTACTGGCACTAGAGGTGCTGGACCAGGAGGTCCTGATGCTGGAGGCGCTAGATCTGGAGGCACTAGAGCTGGAGGCACTGACGCTGTAGCTACTGGAGCTGGAGGTGCTGGCGCTGGAGACGCTGGAGCTGGAGGCACTGTGCAGTAGCGTGAGCCCCTCTCACCACAGCAGCTGCGCGACTAGCTTGCCCGGCGCACCCGCCTTCAGAGTCGCACTAGCGCTGGAGGTACTGGAGCTAAAGGCACTGGAGCTGGAGGCGCTGGAGCTGGAAATACTAGCACTGGAGGTTCTGGAGCTGGAGGTCCTGACGCAAGAGGTGCTGGAGCTGGAGGCACTGGAGCTGGAGGCACTGACGCTGGAGCTACTGGAGCTGGAGGTGCTGGCGCTGGAGACGCTGGAGCTGGAGGCACTGTACGGCAGCGTGAGCCCCTCTCACAGGAGCAGCTGCGCGTGTGGCTTGCCGAGCGCACCCACCTTGGGAGTCGCGCAGGAGCTGGAGGCACTGGAGCTGGAGGTGTTGGAGCTGGAGATTCAAGCGCTAGAGGCGCTGGAGCTGGAGGCACTGGAGCTGGAGGTGATGGAGTTGGAGGCACTGGAGCTGGAGGCGCTGGCGCTGGAGGCGCTGGAGCTGGAATTCCTGCCGCTGGAGGTGCTGGAGCTGGAGGCACTGGAGCTGGAGGCGCTGTCACTGAAGGCGTTGGAGCTGGAGCTACTGGAGCTGGAGGCCCTGGAGCTGTCGGTGCTGGTGCTGGAGGCACTGGAGCTGGAGGCCCTGCCGTTGGAGGTGCTGGGGCTGGTGACGTTGGAGCTGAAGGAGCTGGAGCTGGAGCTGCTGGTGCTGGCGGCGCTGGGGCTGGAGGCGCTGGTGCCGAGGGCACTGTACAGCAGAGCCCGTTTTTCTTACCCCCACCGCAGCTGTCCGACCTACCGCCTGAGTCAGTGCTCCGTCAGGTTCTTAGTTTTCCTTTGTCCACTGCCCTTCCTCCAGACTCACCGCTGCCTGCCCCACCTCGTTACACTAAGCAGCCGGTCTCTCTTAGCGAGCGTCGTGAGCCTGCGTCATATCCTGCCTCCCCTGTTCGCACTGTTCGCCGTGCTCGTCGTGTCCCGCGTCCGCGTCCTCCTCCTGTGCCAGGTACTCACACTATGGCACTTTGTCCTTCCTCTGTTCCACAGCGTGTCCCCCTGCCGTCTCCTCCGGCGCGTCCTCTCTTCGTGTCGCTCCGGACCTCGAGTCTGACCGTGTTCGCGCTGCCGGTCCCACTGTCACGCGTCTCCTAGCCACTGTTGTCACTGACCCGTCGTTTGAGTCTACTGCTGTGTCTGCCTTAGTTGCTGAGCTTGTGGATTTTGCTGCTACGTGTCGTCTACACTATGCTGCCAGTCTTATTGCTGAGTCTGAGTCTGTCTGTCCTCCGTTCGTCGGGGGTGAGTGTGCTCTTGGCACATGCGTCCTTGAGGACAGGCAGGAGGACTTTGAGTCTCTTGCGGCTGCTGTACCTCATCTTGTGGCCTGGCTGCTTGCGCCTGAGGGAGACCCGGATGCACTGGACATCCCGACCCCGCGCTCTTACGCAGAGGCGATAGAGGGTCCCTACTCTTCTCAGTGGCAGACAGCCATGGACGCAAAGATGGCATCCTGGAAGTCCACAGGCACCTATGTTGACGAGGTTCCCCCTCCTGGGGCGAACATTGTCGATGGCATGTGGATTTTCAGGGTGAAGCGGCCGCTGCGTTCTCAGTCTGTCTTCAAGGCTCGTTACGTTGCACAAGGCTTCAGTCAGCGACAGGGAGTTGACTTCTTCCAGACCTTCTCCCCTACCCCGAAGATGACCACTCTTTGGGTGCTGCTGCACGTTGCCGCTCAGCGTGACTACGAGCTTCACTCTATTCACTTCAGCACAGCGTTCTTGCAGGGCAGCCTGCACGAGGAGATCTGGCTGCGCCGCCCACCTGGCTTCACTGGGTCGTTCCCTCCTGGTACCCAGTGGAGCCTCCGGCGGCCGGTCTACGGTCTCCGCCAGGCGCCTCATGAGTGGCACGACACACTGAGGACGACACTTGCGGCTCTTGGGTTTGCTCCGTCCACTACAGCTGACCTGTCGCTGTTCCTGCGCACCGACACTTCCCTGCCGCCGTTCTACATCCTCGTGTACGTCAACGACTTGGTTTTTGCCACTGCTGACACTGAGGCACTCGCCCTTGTGAAGTCGGAGCTGCAGAAGAGACACACCTGCACTGACCTGGGTGAACTACGTAGCTACCTTGGCTTGCAGATCACCATTACCATGACTCAGTCACACATGGTGCAGCAGATTCTTCAGCGCTTCGGCTTCCAGTTCTCCTCACCACAGTCCACTCCTCTGTCTACCAGTCGCTCGCTCTCAGCTCCACCTTCGGACGAGTCCGTAGAGCCGAATGGCCCGTACCCAGAGCTTGTGGGCTGCCTCATGTACTTGATGACCTGCACTCGACCTGACCTTGCGTACCCCCTTAGCATCCTGGCTCGCTACGTTGCGCCTGGGAGACATCAGGACATCAGGCATGGGGCTGGTGCTTGGAGGACGGGGTGACGTTGTCCTCACTAGACACTCAGACGCCTCTTGGGTTGACGACCTGGTTACGCAGCGGTCGTCACAGGGTTACACCTTCAGCCTTGGTTCCGGCTCTGTCTCTTGGCGGTCTACCCGCTCTTATTCTGTTCTCAGCTCCAGTTGTGAGGCTGATCCACACCACAGCCATGGCTGCACAGGAGTTACGCTGGCTCACCTACCTGCTGACTGACTTGGGAGAGCGGCCTCGTTCTCCTCCAGTTCTGTACGGCGACAACAAGGCAGCCCTTGCCTTGTGTGAGGAGCAGAGACTGGAGCACAGAACGAAGCACATCGCTCTGCGTTACTTTCTTGCTCGAGAGCTGCAGCAGCGTGGCCAGCTTCGTCTTGCTTACGTGGACACGC